TGTTAATATTTGAACTGTGTAAAAAGGGGGCATTATAAATGTTCTGTTTCGTCTTTGTTTAGGAAATTTAGGTTCGTTTGTATATTTTGTTAAATTGCTTTAAGTTCTTGTCTGCTTATTTTTACTGCATATTGTGGCATTATCGGTTTCGTCTTTGTTTTTATTTATATCTATGTATTTTTTAATACTATTGTTTTCACTGCATCGGTTCTCCTTTAACATTTATAAAAATGTTTACCAAGTAATTCGCATCAAATCATTTTCACGTTTTTCAAAGTGCTCGGAGTAATGTCATACTTTGTAAAATGAACAATCGATTGAATAAATTAATTACCTAAATGATAATGAACATTTTACATCATTTGCGTTGAAGGAAGGGTTAATTTATATGGGGATAGAGGAAAAGAGGGGGAAAAACAATGGGGGAAGGAAGAGAGAGGGCGAGAAATGGACAGAGAGAGAGAGAGAAAGAGAGAGGAGGGGGAGGGCAAGAGGGAGGGAGGGGGAGGAAGAGAGAGGGAGAGTGGATGAAGATAAGAATAAATTAGAAGAGACGTAAACAAAAGACCGAAAGGCAGAGAGAGAGAGAGAGGGGGATCACACCAAAAATGCTTCTACCATTCTTTACCTGAATAAATCTTTGAGGACGTGATTATGTGACTTTTGAAAGAAAATTATGCTATGGTTTCCAAAGATTCTGCCCCCCCCCCCCCACCCCAACCCACCTCTCCCCTTCTCTAGATAATATATGTCGGTGTCAAGTTTGAATAAACAACACAACTTGTTAACTAAACCATTTAAATCATTAAGGGAAAGCCAGCCTAATCTTATTTGATATCAGAAACGTTGCTTTTGATTCCGAACGCTAATTCTTTCTGACATAATTGATATCAAATCCTTTCGACACGAAACGCAAGGTAGGCCCTGTCTCGAATGTTAATCTTCTAGTCTCAAGTGATTGGGAAGGGCGATGGTTGTCTAGCTTAACACGGCCTGTACATGATACTTTGTTCAGGATTTAGGTTACATGACGATTGCAGGGATGTATTGTTTTCAATCATATGACGTTGGTTTCAAACATTATTCTTGTTTGAACGTTTGTCAGAGGATACAATATGGTACCGTAGACCGATGCGTCAGAAACTTGTCTAGAGGTTCGATGACAGACGCGTCCCGGCGATTGATGTTCCGCGGTCAATTGTGAAATTCGTATAACTTCAACCTTGAACCAAAAACTATACTTACCTTAACCCTTTAAACCTTAAATCTATGAATTAAAACCCAATTGCAACCCTTATCCTTACCCTGCGTGTTTTACGAAAGAAAACAAGGAGACAAATTTCGAGAGTTAGGCCTATGTCGGAAACCCAGTTTAAAATAAGGTATAACCAGAGGTTGCTATATGTATATAACGTCGCAAAAACTACTTTATTCATACTAAGGTAAAGGTTACCTGACGCAGACCCCCAAGATAGACAAGAAAAACAGTTACATGTGTATCATGGCTGAAGTCAATACTCTATGACACACTTGTTTGCTGGCAATCATAATTTGATTTTGGAAGAATTTGCAATATTATTTGATATCAAAATTCATACCTATAAAATCTTAATGATCGTTGATTTTAATAGACATTATGATTGATAAAATTATAGTTTCAAAGGATTTCAAACTTTCTCAGAGAAGGAATATCTAAATTGCTTTAGAATCATAGTGACGTCATACCAGTAATACGTTGTCTACAATATAAAGCTGATTCGGTTTTTATTCTGACTAACGTTTTTAGCGCTCATTTCAATATTTATAACGTACATCAGGAAGATGATGTTTTTCTAGATATATATATTGTATCTAATGTAATTGCCATTTCTTTGAAATTCGGATCGCCGAAAGGTCGTTTCGTCTGCGGTTGGCTTAAAACCTTAAAATATTTAATTACACTTTCAACATTCATACTCATTGTTTAATTCAATAAAGGATATGATTCGACTGTCATTGATCGAATTAAAAGAAATTCTATATCTAAAACAATTGTCATGATCGTTATCTCAAACGTCATCGAATCCACCGCACTAACACTGTGAGCTTTACCCAAATAAAGAACTCAATACGGGGAGAGATGTAAGTGAGCTGACGATTTGGTTGATATTGCATATTCGTATGCTCGCATTTCACCATCGATGTAATATATAGAATATGTTGCGTTATGAGATTTATTCCTTTTTTCCAATTCTGTTCTAACAGCCAGCCAAGAGTTATTTCATTAGGAATAATGAACAAACACATGCTCAGAAATCAATCGTACAGATACTTGTCTTCGACTCGGTTTGTTAGATTTAAGATGATAAGATGAGATATGATTTCAAAATGGGATAAGAAGGTTGGAAACAGATGATGCCATGATTAAATTGAGAAACGTTATATATGAATAATTATCCCCAAAATGAATTTGATATGCGATCTGCATGACGACGTTGGTATTCATTAAAACCGTCTGAGAAGCAAAATTATATCATATTAAAGTGTCACTTCAAATACAGGAATTCTGTTTCATTGTCTCCCCTCTAGAAACCATGATAAAAAAATGAAACATTGATAGAAACTCTTAGATTTACAGCAACATTTGTTTTAAAGGCCAAAATGTGTATGAAGTAGCGCTATTGAAACGTTAAAGTAATCTTGATAAAATATTCATAAAAGTATGAAGGACAATTGACATTTTTTTCAAATTTAAAATGAATATGCAAGGAGGATCACGAAATACTGGCAATCACGATGAATATTTCAAGTCAGCATTGCCTATATAGAAGTATAATATTGGTCGTACTCTAATGATTTGTACATGCCCAGACATTATCATCCAGTGGTCAGATCCATGAGCCTGGTGGATTGAGGGGAGGGGGGGGGGGGCAAATGAATGATCAAAACAAAATCAAACAAAACGCAATTCGGGCATATTTAATCCTCGTCATATTAATAATAATGATTATAATAAACGGTGCTTATAAAGCGCTTTCCACCGAAGTCTACAAAAAAACAATGACAAACATTAACATATTAAACAAAAAAATAGCAAATAAAAAAAACCGTAAATTACAATACATTTTAAATAAACATCAATGTGAACAGAGTAGACAATGCGTACGAATTGACTTACACTCAACGAAAGAAATGGTGCTAAATCAATCAGAGTGACTTTGTTAAAGATAAACTTGAGTTCTGGTAATGCGATTGCATTGTGAAAGAAAAGGTGTGGAATGAATCAGAAAAGTTGATCATATAGCATGTAAGTAATGGTGTGTAATGCAAGGTTCTGGAGTCATCAAAATCATCATAAATTTGGCAGAGTCTTGGTAAAGTAACAATCACTTACACAGAAAGATGTATATGGGACAACACACATGGTGTCGGGGCTAGTACTACCCTGATTTCCTTATCTTTCTATGCTCATTACTCAGCCAGTATACATTTTCTTCCAAAATTATTTGGCACATGACATTTGTTTGTAATCTTGAACATTCAGTGTAAGCTTCGTTAGATTCTGTGAGAATTCATTTTTTTTTTTTTTTACCACAACTCAAGTTTATCTTTAAACACGAGCGAGTGAAATTATTCCCAGACGCAGTCAAAAATGCAGACAGACAAAAAACAAAAAGAAAACAAAAAGATGACAGACCCCTCCCACATCCTTCTCTTACCCTATGCCCTTGTTCTCTCGGCGCACGCCATTCACCTTCTATTACCAATGTCACAAAACAAATGACGTCACTGCCCCCTCAATTATAATTTATGAATTATGAATTCTGTCTGACTAGCAACGGTTATTGTAGACCAATTATAAATTACTTTGATCTTTTTATATTCCTGCAATCGGGGAGGTGTACATTAGCTTCACCAAATCCTGGATAAGCAAAATATTTGTTTAATATTTGTTTTAATGCTATTTGATTTTAAATTACGTTGCTTTTTCCATTCTATAGGATATGCCATTAATATTCCCTTAGCCCCATAGTTTGAAGAAAAAAAACTGTGCACTTGATTTGAGGTGCTGTTATAATTCATTGTAAATATGCCAATCATAAAAATACTTGTAATACACAAATTCGAAGAGTTTTGACTGAGTGGTTAGAAGTGGTAATATAGGTAATATTGTTTTTTCTCATGGAATTCTAAATAATTCTCCTGATATTATACCTTTTTGTTTAATATTTGTTTAAATATTTTGTTTAAAGAGTACACTCTTTCTGGGTTTTATTTCATCACAGGTATAATGTTAGGGTTATGTTTGGATAGAGATTTTAGGTGAAGTTTAGACTTAAAGTGACTCGGTAACATTGCCTCAGATTGTGAAATATAATCCTGGAATTAGCTCATGCTGCAATCATAATTATAAACCTCTAGGTCAGTCAGGAATCCCATGAATTTTACAAGCCGATCGCCCGTCTGATTATCAAGATATTAATGATTGGAAATCGAAATCAAAGTTTGCGTTTTCCTAACGGTTTTTTCTAACACTACAGACTATTGGGAAAAATGAGTATGGTAAAACCGGTCAATCAAAGATTTTTACTTTTTTGAGGCACTTCATAATCATTTTTAAGCGCAATTTTTTTAGGGCTTCAATATCACACCATATCACAGACACTGATAACACGTAGGGCCATGCATCTCATATTTAACTTTGTTAAACAATACTTCCAATAGAGTGTTGGGCAGTGCTCATCCAGTTAATTAGTCTTTAGCCTACATTATTGTGCCGCACAACTTTCCAATGAATCATAATTTGACCAAAATGTGGATGAGCTCAGAATATTTGTTTTGCATTATATGCATGTCCAGAGCGATAAGCAGATACAGTATATCAATTACATATTTCTCAATTACATATTTTTGCAATGGATTATATTTCTCGCCCAGCACATGATATAAATCACGACGCTGGACAGCAGAATCATCATTTGAGCTCGAGTAATAACCGCATCAACATCTACAATATTTTTTTCTTTTCTCCCGTCTCTGCGGATTCCACACTACAAAATGGGTACAACAGTAAGTGTTAAAGTTTTCGTTTAGTGAGCTGTTTTATAGTTGTACTCATGTGCTGGAAAGGATTTTAATGTGACTTCTCATCACTTCGAGCGATCAACAAATTAATAGTTTCCTGTCGCCTAATGCACAACTGGAGTGGCTCATTTTGTTTGACTATCTAAGTTCAACGTCGAATAATGTTCATGCTGATGGTGTCTTTTACATATACGCTGTTGCCGATAAAGTTGGAATTACTTTTCTTCCTTCTTACAGAAAATATGAATGTTTCGATATGATTTACTCTTGATAGATAAAGTTTGTATATTCTCAGAACTGTATTGACTTTTATAAAGAGTCATAGCAATTGACCTTCTCGGAAGGTTCCGAGAGGAAATTCTTTCGATCAAGAAGAAACCATATTGTCGCAGTCATCTGATAAAACCATCCATATCAGGATCTTATGTTAATGAATAAATAAATGTGAAGGTCAATTTTCTAGACAACAATCAACATCATCGTTTGTGGAAATAAATTCGAAAACAAAATTACTTTTGGATCTTCACTCGCTGATTTATTTCTTTCTATCGCCTTAGAATAGATTCATGCAAAAATTATAACATCATCCATTAATATCATTTTGCGTTTATCTTTGTAATTTCAGAAGATGCTGCTCACGGCGCTCTGTCTATCTGTAATGATCTGTGCCTGTGCTTCACGAAGATGGAACGGTAGGTATTTCATCTCAATCCATAGACTGACAATGTTAGAGGTGTCGTGGTATAGTGGTTCTATTCACTTCCTTCTCGATCCAAGGGTTGATGGTTCGAATCCCAACCCGGCACTAACGTCGATTGGCAAGAGACTAGCCCTCATTTGCCACCCTCAAATCATGCATTGAATAATTACAGGATAGGATGCGAAAGTCATTGTTGTTTGCGCATTGTTAGTGTCTGTAAAATGGTGCCTGACTTGAATGCTCCCCAGGGAGTGGAGAATGTGCATACAGTGTGTGCGGGCAAGTGTGAATCCGATGACCGGGGAAATGATATCTCTAAAGCGCTTAAGAGACATGATCGATGTCATGAGCGCTATATAAACCCAGAATATTATTATCATTCGTTTGGTAAATATTTCTATAATATTGGTCGGGGTATTTGTAGAAAAGAGGAGGAGGAAGAGGGGTCCGATGGTTAGTTGATGTAACAGGTAGTTATCTGATTGGGAGGTGCAAGGAGCGATTGTCGGGAGGGGGAGTGTATTGTCTAGACGATGATTGTGCAGGGTATTCTCCTTCTTCTCCTCCCTCTTCTTCTTCTGTTTTATTATTATTATTGCTATTACTATTATTATTATTGTTATTATTATTATCAATATGGTATAATTATCATTATATAAAAACTATTATCATTATGAGTGTCATTATCAGTATAATGATTTCTAATATTATGGTTCTTCTCCTTCTTGTTATTGTAATTATTGTTATTATAATTATCATATTAATCGTTATCCTCATTTTTACTGTAAATCATTTTAATATCAATAAACAGGACCAAGACCTAAGCCTAGCACCCGCTTTACAGAAGCTTGTGCAATTTTCGACAACGTGAAGATACGCGAAAAAGCCCCCAGGTGCAACAAAAATGTTCTGGATAAAGTTGCCGATTTGGACGAGAAGGTCAATATTTTCCCTTACCAATACATGAGACGGCTCTACCGGTGGGCCCGAAACGGAATGCTGTGCTACGCCCAGACTGGTCAAGCAATCGAAGTGTCGGGACCTTGTGAGGCAATGGAACTCTCGTGCAGTAGCCGTGACCCCAAACCAGTCGACCACTGCTGGAGTGAGTATAATAACAATTAAATGTGATGTTATTTTTAATTTGAACGTAAATTGTCATGTAATTCAGCTGCGGCTGCGATACGATAATAAAACAAAATGAACTAAACTGAACTGAATTTATCCCAGAAGTTTTTAACTACATATTCACCAAATGAAGTGTTTGTCATTGCTTATGGTTTATTCCAAAAATGTTTTCCAAGGCAAAATTGCTCCCTCCCCCAAAAAATATTTGTAAATAATAATTAACGTAAAAAGAGACAAATTTTGATTGTAACTGTATTATTGTTAAGCAATTTACAGCCATTCTCTGATTATTTTGTAAATATCTATTAAAACTGTTATTCAAATTAGTCAGACAAATCTTTATCATCTATTTGTTTTGTTCTGTTTATTAATCTTTGTAGGGGTGACCGGTGCAGCCAAACCACCTGGCCGCCCCCAGGCTCCTCAGAATCCTCAGGCTCCTCCACCGAACCCCCCGGGTCATCTGTAAATCTGTGACGCCTTCTACTCGACAAACATCTCCCAATCCCATTCTTAGAAACACGAGATGTCACATCGATTGCGTAGACGCCAATAATTCAATGCAATGTATATAATTTTCGTGTTTTTTCTCACTTTTGTGCGATGTTGAATTGAAAAGATCATGTTTGTAAATAAATAGTGAAATGTTAAATACAGTTTTATCTTTGTGTGAAATATATGTCTACCGAAATAAACGTATCTTCAACGTAACTTATTAGGTGATGAGAAATGTAAATATATAACAGAGAGATGGGTGAGAAGAAGAGAGTGATGTGTAGAGTGAGTGAGAGCGAGAGAAAGAGAGAGAGAGCGAGATAGAGAGGGAGAGAGAGAGGGGGGAGAGAAGAGATGAAAATGAATAGAGAAGGGAAAAGGCAAACTAATATATACATATTGGGAGTCGTATAGAGATAGATAGATTGAGAGGGGAGACGATGATACATAATCAAGAGTCAAGACAGAGGGAAAGAAAGAGAGAGAGAGGGAGATAGATAGAGAGAGAGAGAGAGAGAGAGAGATCGTTTGTCCTTGTTCCTCTGAAAATTTTCAGATTTTGATTATGTGTATTATTAATAGAGGATGAGACGGCTTAGTTTTTTTTAGATAGGGAGAGGGATGTATACAGAAAGAGAGAGAAAGGAAGGGAAATGTGAACAGGAAGGGAGGATATTAAAGTATTATACATTTGAGAACTTGAGAGGGGGAAAAGGATTGAGTGAATGGGGGTGGGGGAGGAAAAGAACCATTGCATCATTAAAGAGAGAGAGAGAGAAAGAGAAAGAGATATAAATAGGGAAATATATGTTCAAGAGTGTCTGAGAAACAGAGAGATAGAGAGAGAGAGAGAGAGAGAGAGAGAGAGAGAGGAAGGATATGAATGTTTGAATTAAAAAAAAGAGATATACGGCGGACGGCGGCTTCACCCTATATAGGCTATATTACACCTCTATGTTATTTTTTGTTTGTTTAATCAATACTGGTTTTCAAAAACACAGAATAAACATGAATTCGTCAAGTGTTTAAAAGTACATGTATGATAATGGTCCGAACGCAAAGACCGACAATACTTTACTTAATGCTTTACGTTTAAACTCAGTGTTCTCTCTTTTATCAAGTTTTAGTTCTATTCATTCCTCGATATGAAGAGACGTTCAGAAACGCATTATTCGGACAGGCATGGGGATAGGAGGACGAGGGGGGGGGGGGGGGCTCTATTAAAAGCGAAAGCGTTATCACGCTAATGGTTTTCAAAATCGTAGTCTATTGGATGCGTCACTGATCTCTAGATCACAAGGTTCGGGGTTCGAGACCTGTTGCAGTATTTACACCCTTAGGCAAGACACTATTTTACATTTGCCACTATCCACCCATGGGTGTTTCACAAAGATCCTAATTAGAACTTAACTCTAAGTTGGACTTAAATATTATGGAGAGCCATTTGTAGCCTTAAAATAAAATATATTCAAATACAAAATTCAAGTATTTTAGACTTTTCATAAATTACACATCAAGAACATGAAATCTCCTTGATAATTAATAGAAAATATGAATGATTTGAATCAACATTTTATGCCTATTAAAATAACTTTTACAAAATGTTTTCAAAGATGCTAATGTCTTTCCATAATTTTAAGTCCAACTTAGAGAAGTTGGACTTAGTATCTTTGTGAAACACCCCCTGGTTTAGCAAATGGGTAGCATGTACATGTAGGAACTTAATGTTGTTAGCGCATTATATAAAAAGCATCTGGACTCGGAATGGTTATACTTTTTTAGATGTCTTGAGAAAGCCTTAATAGAAATGTAGCTTCGTTATTGTTATTATTATTATTATTATTATTGTTATTATTATTATCATTATTATTATTATTATTAGTATCGTAAATTTTATTACTATGATCATTATTATTATTATTATTATTCAAAGATTCATCGAGGATGTCATAAGTCTCCTATTAAGTTCTTATTGAGGGAAACTATGAATGAAATAAAAGAAGTGTTGATTTCTCGAGAATTTGACCTGTCACCAACCTTTTCGTGTTTTTCTCATTTAGATTATTTCAATGTTTTAGGTAGACCTTTTTCAAAGCAACAAGATCTGCAATTTCCTGGCATGAGTAATCTTTGATGGCCTTCAAAATAATGATCACATTAATGTGAGCGAAGTTGGCAAAATGTATCGTTGGGACTCTGCATCCAGGGTTCTAGGTGGAGAACGTTTCTCAATTACAGGTACATGGGTTATATTACGCGCTTGGTGCATTGTATAAGAGCCTCCATTCGGACGGGGATCGTCACTCGACTGCTGGTAGCAACTGTTTCGACTTCCAACTTTTCAGAAAATCTCCTTTCTTAAATTCTCAGCTGGTACGAAGCGACAGGATGGCTGTAACCGTAAGTTGATAATTTCGTAGCATTCTTTTCTTTCAGGAAGCTGGATATGAGCTGGAAATAGATTTATTTATTCCCTTTATCTTGGAAAGAAATTGATTATTCCTGGTAGACGCGTTTGAATCTTTATTCTTTAACTACCTAGAATTAGTAGTGAAAAAAAGTTCATGATAACTGTTATTTCCATGTTGTCTTGTTGCTATACTGCATACATATAAAGAGTGGTCAATTGTTTAATATTAAACAAAGAAACGTTTCGAAATAGCGTTCAGGTATATCTGAAGATCAGCTGGAAATTATTTGCTATAACCCCAAGACAGATTGCAATGTCTAATTGTTTTGTTATAATGGGATAATTCGCCTCACGCAAACTTTTACGATTCTTTCTAATGGTGGGTGTTCATGAACTTTCTGAATTTTGTGTAATCACGGACAGCTGGCATTTAACAATGCGATACTGCCCGGTTTTATCAAAAGAACTCTCATATGCTTAAATTACATCTTCAAACATACTGAATATTAAAGTAATCAAGTAGGAGAAAAAGATTACGAAAGCAAAAATTCAGTGAAACAATTATATATTTTTTAAGAAAAAGCATGACCCAAAACTTTCGCCATTTTTACTCTGCGTTCATGTAAGTTATTAGCACTTTGTTCAACAGTTTATCAAACTAACCCACACAAATCATTTGTATTTCTCAAGATTAACATCAATGAGCATAAATTTGATTGTAAGCTCTTTGAAGAAATAAATGACAATGATCCTAGTATTAGGATCTTTATTTATGTTCTTTCGCTCGTCTTTTTTTTTTCTAGCGCAATGAAATCATTTGAGCAAAACTGAATATTGCTAATGCTTTTAAAACTTAAAAATAACATAAACGGCGACCATGTTTGTCTGTTATATATTATCTTTATATCACCTAGTTACAGAAGATTCTCGTGGCATTCTGTCTGTGTGTTCTGATTTGTGCCTCTGTTTCACATGGATATGGAATGTACGGCAGATACGGCAGATACGGCAGATATGGAGGTGAGTGCTTTCTCTTCATACGAAATGGACATTGCTTCATAAATAGTTTTATTTAATTTTTATTTGTGCAACAGCAGTCGAGGCAAATATTCTTTCAAGGTTGAATTGCCTGGTTGAAGTTGTCTGGAGGTTTCTATAAGTGGTTAGCTTACACGGTAAGTGTGAGGGGTAAGGTTCCGGGGGAATTGTCCGCGGTAGTTGACTGGAACCAGTTGCAATAGGGTTAGTTTTCCTTTGCCTTTGGTAGTTGTCTTAGTAGTATTCCTAGTAGTACTAGTAGTGTTATGCATATTTAAGATAAAACAATCTTGACCCCGAAAAGATAGTTGGACATGCAAGATACAAGCGTAGCTTTTGCCAAGCCATATTTAAACAAAAATGGAAACAATTATGTTCGGTAATAAATACCGCCTTTTGGAGTAGTGGAACAGCACCTCGTGGAGGGGGGGGGGGCGTGCTTATTTCAACATGTGCTAATGAATTAACGAATTGATGAGTGAATGGATGAGTGAAGAGTCTATTTTTAATTTTCAGGACCAGGCTTTAATCCCAACGGCCGTCTCACACAGTACTGTGGCTTGTTTACCTGGGAGAAGATAGATGAGGGATATGGAGCATGTAACATGAAGGTCCTCAAAGAAGTATATGACAAGGATAAGGATCTTTACCACGACGGGTACATGAGGCAACTCTTCAGACGTGCACGACATGGGATGTTGTGCTATGCCGAAGGTCCCCGCGTCGTGAACGTGAGAGGAGCTTGTGATGCTATGGAACTTGCCTGTCGCCCCTACGCCCCCAGAACCGTTGACAACTGCTGGAGTATAAGTAAGAAATTGTCGTTTATCTATATTTTTCTTTTTTAATAGTCTTTTCACTTGAGTGCTCAAATGCTTTATTGTGTGTGGCATACTCTGCTAAGCTGCCAGAGAAAGTAATCAAAGCAAAACGAGCACACAAAAAAAAGACTTAAATGCACGTCTTGCCGATATATTTTGTTTGTAAAAGAATATTGTATCGTTATGTAACGTCATATTGTACTATTATTTTTATGGAAATGCGAGGTGTTTTAATCGTCAGCTTCCTCATCTTCCCTGTCAAGGACCCCGGTTTGAAATTGAGTCACGTCTTTCGGATGATGACGTTAAAAGTCAACCCCAAGACGTAACAAAAAGTATCTAATTGACGCACGTCTGTAAAAGCCACTGACACATACACACACACGCACATGACAAATTCAATTTCATTTTGTATAACTCCATGGGCTATAACATTTCCTGAAGACATTACGATTAATACTCTAATTATTGTTTAATTGTTTCTGAATCTCTCTAGGGGTAGCTCCACCTCCACCCAACCCGCCACCCGCCGGTCCCGCAGCGACTCCCCAACCGAACCCGCCTGCCGCTGGCCCAGGAGGCTGGGGAATCTAAACCCGTGACGGCGCTACTCAACGGAAGTCTCACCAGCCACCCTTCCCGAGCTATCATGCCAATTGCAACACGAGAGTTCATTTCACTGACGTAGAGCTCCGTCAGTAAAATGACGCACCGGGTGCAGCCGACCTTCAACCCTCACATAGCGTGTCAAAGGCTGTGCTAGTCATTGACGCAGTCCCAATTAAGAAGAAACTCACACCACCTATGCAAAACGGCATAATGAAGCTTACACACGATTGCATCATTTTCTGCGCTAAAGAAGCCTGCATAGTTAATTAAAGCATGCGCCAATAATTTATCATAATGTTTGCACTGTTCATATAGGGCATATTATAGCACAACAGGCATCTTTTGCGTCAGCCATGTGGTAAGGTCTTTGACGTGTCCCATGAAATCTCTTAAAAATGTATTTATACTATGAGATGTTTTTTTTGTATATACATTTATGTGTGTTACGTAATAATGATCGCAATTTAAGTTACATTTGTATAATATAGTAATACAAAATAAACTAATATATAAACTATTAGTAAATGCGAACTTTTTTCCTTTTGTTTCTAAAATTACCAATAGGAAATACATGAAATTCTACAAAAATGTAAGGGCCTCGTGTTAAAATAGAATAAAATGAAGGCGAAAATGAAAATAATCAAAAGAGAGAAAAAGAGAGAAAGGGGGATGGGTGGAGGGATGAGCACAATATGAGAGCGAGTAAGAGAATGAGAATATGTATAATCAAACAGAGGAAATGTGTTAATAGGCATATGAAGAGAGAGAGAGACAGAGAAAGAGGGAGAGAGGGAGAGAGAGAGAAAGGAAGAGAGAGAGAGGGGGGACAGAGAGAGAGAGAGAGAGAGAGATAAAGAGAGGGGCACCTAACGAGAGAAAAAACGCAAATTGATCAGGGGAAATGTACATACAAACATACATTATACATATCTTTTGGTTGCCTACTATTAAACAAGCTTTTAAACATGCAACATATTCATAAGGGTGTGTGCCAGGGGATGGGCTTGGTTGCCCTCGTCTACTGTACAAATCGAGAAATACACTCAATTTGTTCACGGAAGCAAGTAGCTCTATCTCCTTGTTGAAATAAAACTATACGAGCTAAGAGGACCACTCGCAACAAGATGATGCCCTCGGTTCGAGAACCCTGTAAATTGTCCAAAAGTTGATTTCCTTTCATAATTGTGCTCCATTCGCATTACAAATATAGTTCCAAGTTTATGCAAGACATATTTAAATCATACTCAGGTTGTTATATTCCTACGTACAAATGTGTCCTCGATTTAAAGATAACTATGTGCGCATATTGAATATGGGTCCCCGATTTACACCAGAAACGCATGTGCATGTGCGTGTGTGCGTGGTGTGTGTATGTTGTTTGTTTGGTTTGCTTAGGTAATACATGTATGTATGTATTTATTTATACATTACATATTATATATGATATCAAATCATGTCCCTCTATTTATCTTCTCTCTCTCTCTCTCTCTCTCTCTCTCTCTCTCTCTTCTCTCTCTCTCTCTCTCTCTCTCTCTCTCTCTTCCCTCGCTCTATCTCTCTAAGCTTTTTCTCTTTCTTTCTCACCTCTTTTCCCCCCTTTTTGGGGGATTTACTTTTACTCCTCTCACTATTTCCGCTCACTATTCATGTCTCTTTTCACATGTAAATAAGCTCTTCGTCAAACTCTGTTTTTCTCCCCATCTATTTATCTCTGCCCCCCCTCTCTCTCTCTCTCTCTCTCTCTATCTTCTCTTTTCCATTTTTATCACGTTTTGTTTCTCTCTCTCTCTCTCTCTCTTTCTCTCTCTCCACCTTTCCTCCTTTCTCTCTTTATTAGCTCTCTACCTTTGCATCATAACGTCTATTGCTGGTTGCTTGGTATGTCCAAGGCAATAGATATTGAATTCCTGTATAATTTAATGAATTCAAGAACAGACAAAAATCAGACTCTTTTGATTCAGTACACAAACATTTATTATTGATATCTATATCTTTTCTACAAAAAGATGAGGATTTTTGTTAACATAAAGATCCTGACTATTTTGAATTTAGAAATGAAAATTACTTTTTAATCATGATTATGTGAACATTAAAAAAAAAAAAAAAAATGAAATTCTTGAGGTTTACATGGTTTGCAAGTGCCAGTGGTTGAAGTAGTCCTCCGTCAGTAAGTGGTGATTCTTGGCCAATGTGCAATATGCCCTTTGACGCATCATTTCGACGTTGTCAGTGACAAAAAATTAACGCAAGCTCAACAGCGCAAACTTTGAGTTAATGGCGAATGCGCTTATTGCTTTCAAAGGCTTGATTAGTGAAGGTAATATACAATGTATATGACTCCCCGTTGCACGTTAGGCGTTATTCTGCTGATAAAGAACTGCGTCAGTGACTGACGCAGTCCATTATACGTGCTTTATTTGAGAGTTTAATGCCTGTCATAGAACAGGCGTCATTTATGATGCGTTATTACCTGAGCAAGTCAAGCCAATAAAAGAATTAAGCCATACGCCAGCACTTCAACGTTTTGTTTGCAATGTTCATTTTGCGTTCACAATTTGTAGTATCTCAATCTAACATGGCACGTCAAGAACGCAAATTGTCGCTGACGCAATGATGCGTCAGCAAAATGAGGACTCGTGCGGCGTACCGGGCATTACAATTTAAGTTCGGCGGACTAGAATAGCACCGTCATGTGTTTAGATACCGCGGCCACCTGGAGCTTGAGGTGGGTTTGGTCGAGCAGTCGCAGGTGGATTTGCTTGTGACACTCCTAGAAGATTCAGAAGAAGAAAGGAAAACGGGTTAGGCAAAAATGTAAAGCCTTGAGAAAAGCTACTGCATGGCAATTTACAATACGAAATTGGAGAAATGATCGTTATCCCTGCCACAGTTGCTAAATGTTATTTCACAATTAATCAAGATGTTTAAAAAAATCCTAGATGATAGATCCGTCTTCTGCTAATTTAGTTAAGACCAACCCAGGGTCTAAAATTAAAAGCCTAGACTTAGAAACTACTTTTCTTTGTTAAAACCCATTGGCTCATAATCTTCTTAAATTTAGACCCGGCGCTTGGTTTAAACTTATGTAAAAAAATTGGGTACGAAATGGAAATTTGTCCAAGGTCTAATTCTCCTTTAGTTAACCATGATTTTATACCTAGCGTCGATTTTAGTGAATTAGTAGAATACGGACCGAAATTGACAGAACCCTTAACCCTCCGACGGACTTTAGTTTTAGTAAAATCCGGACTTTAGTGTTTCATTTTCACGAAATAAAATCAAATTATAAAGTACTATACTTACTCCAGCAGTTATCAATTGCGCTACTATGGGCGAAGTGATGGCATGAAACTTCCATGGCATGACAAGGCCCTCTAACGTTCACGATTCGAGCACCTTCGGTGTAGCACAACATTCCGTTCCTCGCCATTCGGAAGAGCTGTCTCATAGATTCGTCATGGTTGATTTCCTTATCCTTCTCAAATATTTTTTTCAGAACATTCCAGTTGCACGTATATCCCTCATCCACCTTCTCCTTATTATACATCCCGCAATAGTTAGCAAGACGGGCCCCGGGTGTTATACCTATAAATTGAAGAAGAGCAATGCATTAATTTGAGCCTCTATTTATTATCATAATAATAATAATGATAAAAATAATGATGACAGATTCCCGACAAAAAAAAACACCGGAGAAATATCCTCTAGGTCACTTACTCTATGACAAGTAGATAGTTAGCCTTACGTAAATTCCTCCTGACTACAACTCCCGAGGAGGAAAAAAAAAACCACTTAAAAGAGATTACCTGTAACCTTAGATTAACTACCATTGTAGAGACATGCTGCAATAAAGCTGCTTAACTTAAAATAACATAAGTTATTCAATAAATGAATGGATCAATAGACAGATAGAGGGTTGAATAGAATATATAGAAGAACAAATACATGAATATGTAAACAATTGAATAAATACATAAATTAATTCTGAGAAATAGATGAATAAAGACGACGAGGCAAAGAAAGAGACATTAAGCGTGCTTACTTAGTCATTACGTGTTAATTTAATGTGAATCACATTAATCTGTAACAAGTCATTTTTCCGCGGCAACGTTTGTTTTGTGGTTAACCGCGTCATGTGTAAAAGAGGCTTCAGTTTAATTTACTGACAGTAAAAGGCAGAAATACTCACCCCCAAATCTTCCTCCGCCTCCGCCACCATACATCGGGAATCTTTGTGAAACAGAGACAGAGATCATAACAGAAAGACAGAGTCCCAAGAGCAGCAGCTTCTGAAATCATATGATATAAAGATACACGTACACTCATGTCATTTTTAAGGTAACAATTTATATCATGTTTTACATTGTTTAGTATGAGGCGCCGATTGTAAACTTAATAAAGTGTATTTAAAAAAGAAAAGACATCTATGGACAGTAATATTTATTATTCACTGTAACATTAACAAAAACGTTATATACGCTCATATATAAAATTATATTTATGTTATACCAACAGAAAATAAATAACAATTAATGAATAAAGATTTGCACGCTGTAATTATTTACAAACAGCTATTTAACAGTATTCATTATTCATAGATGTTGATTTAGACATTTTGAATAATGAATTGCGCACTTTTAATTACTTATGAATAATGACTGATATACTCTATGGTCAGAATTGTTAAATTTATGATAGACATTTTGTACATCACGGGTATCAACTCCCAAAAAAGTTGTATAAGTTTCCAACGGATGCAATAATTATTCCAATACAAAGAAATCAGATACTACAATTTTCTTCAACAAAAAAATAAAATTATTCCAGCCTCCTCTTCAGATTGCAACGAATGTTTCTTATTTAAAAGAATACTCTATATAATTCGAACAGATTGTTAGTTTAAATCCAATCATTCCTAGACTTGAATACTCTTCAAAAGTCTATCCGCTGTGTACTTTAAGAAAACGTAAGAACATATTAGCCAACAGGAACCTTTTATCTTCACAACGGAGCCCCGGAAATCCAGATTATTGAAAAGAAGCATCTTGATTTGTCCTTGACTCGAAATGACTTACAGTTAATCAATTGTATTTCCTGGATTGCTTCGGGTGTTGAAATCTAAATCAGATGTAAATGTGCAAAAAATAGATGAATCCCTGCGTACAAAATTGAAACTACTAGAAGAAAACAAATCTGCTGGAAAAAAAAACGAACTTACCGTTGCCGCCATCCTGTAGCTTTTGGTCAGCTGAGAGTCTGGACAAAATTATTTTTAAAGTTCCTGGTTGACGATACACTTGTTACTCGAATTGAAATGATGATCTTTCGTCCAATATCACTATACTTATACCTTTTGGTCATCGGACGAAGTACAATCCACTGACATTTGTAATTGAGAGAAGATCTCTAATTACAACCCCTGATTGCCAAAAATACATGTTGGATAAATGCCAGCCCTTAACATATATAATTTCATTTATTAATATGTATATTGAAAATATTAAAAGAAAACAGAGGTCAGCAAAGGGGAACATTGGTGAAGCCACTCACCATCATTCTCTTATTTCATTCCGCACAAGTATAATATTCATGTATTATATACATGTATGTGTGTGTATATACGCCTTTTGGTGTTGTATTTTTCAAGTTGCACATGTAACAGTACCGTATTAATTATTTCAATTGATATGCTTGTTTTGTTTCCTTTTGTTTATGGTTCTTATCAGAACTCCTGAGGAAAAATATTCATGTCATTTTTTTTAGTTCGCTCTTAAGGACATGGACTGTACAACCCTCATTTCCCCCATATAGTTTGTAATGGTCAAGCGGTGCATTGTGTGTGATTTCTGAATGCTGACGTGGTTTTGCTGAACAATCAGCAAAGTGTGGGTCCTAAGGTAAGTGGTTCAAATCCCTACCACGGTACCAACATCCGTTTGCCAAGACAATATACTACATTTCTACTCTTGACTTTTACAGGGGGTAACCGGAGATGAAGACACTACTTGAAGGCTTGGGCCGACGTGCATGGGTACTAAACATGTATCTTATTTGTCTCGACTACAATAGATTATCTTTAACTAAGCTATACAAAAAATCTGGAACCAACACTATATCTAATCCTAACACTACACCTAACATAAAACCCAATTGAAATCCTAACTTTATAAACCCTTTACCGTCGACGAAGTACCGCCCGGAGCAATTCTCCCAAACAATGTTGGATGACCGGTTAGAACAGGTAGTCCGGTTCGACAATGATGACACATCCGTTTGAACTCAGTAAATCTCTTTTTTATAATTCATTTTTTTTTCTTTTCACCGTGTATTTTATTCGCACAGAAACGCAATAGGGTGATAAGTGTTTGGTTTGATAGCAAGCTTCTTCTTTTTAAAGAAATCTTCCATTTTCTCATTTTAGAATATTCTTCCAAATGTATTCTGAGTTTTCTCCAAAAATAGGAAGAATCGTATCGTGCCTTTAAGACTTCTATCTCAAATATGATATTCTTCAATATCATAATTTGATCATGGCTGGGTGTTATATTCCAAGATGTATTTTTGGCATATTTGTGAGGAGTTGTAAGAGGAGCTCATTGTTAAATGACACATGAATGGATCATATTTTGAACCAAGAGAGCAAGAGAGTATAAATACTGATACGGGGTGGGCGATTGCCAGTTGGTAAAAGTTTGGCATCATCCAGCAGTTTTCAAGATTGTTTCTTTCTAATTTCGAGTCAATCTAAAACTACAAAAATGACTATGACGGTAAGTGTGATCATTATACCCATTATGATTTCTTGGAAGTAGCTTCTGTTTGTATATATACTGTTTTTGCTGAGAGGGATTCATTTTTAATGTATTAACATTTTCTTCTCATTAGAAGAGAGCAATGAGCAACAATTGATGATTGATTTCCGGCCGCCTCAAGAAAAGTTGCGCTTGTTATCTGGAATTCAATCTAGGACAACAGCTTACGTTCAGTGTACAGTGTTTTTATCGTGTTATCATGCTATCATATTATCCTATGCCAGACGATCAAATAATTAAACACATATTCAAACAAATAATATTGTTATTACAAAATGTGAAATAAAACGATTCCCAGTTTAGCTTTTCCTGCAGAAACACGAGGTGGGAAGATGAACCAAAATTGCCGCAAGTTTGATCGCATCTCTTTTTAAAAAAAGGCTGGAAAATACTAACAAAAAATGTAGTATGTTGAACGATGACATGAATTTTCGTTTGTCTTGTAATTTCAGAAGATGATGCTCCTGGCAGTCTGTGTATCTGCTTTGATATGTGCCTGTGCGTCACAAAGATACGGCGGATACGGAGGCTACGGGGGTCATGGAGGTGAGTAATTATATTGTCCTTATTTATGAAAATCTTGGTTTAAGCTTCTAATAAAATTACAATTTAGGCGGCCAGCTTTCGTCCATGCCCGTGCAATTTCTCGGCTCTTTTTCGTTATTTCAGTATTATCCAGAGGTTTTCCTGTTCTCCAGTGATCCGGGTTTTCGCCTCCTTCCGTATCTGAATTAATTACTGTATACTCTATGTTGAAATAATTGTTACATATATCATGTATATTTACATTGTGTTTCATATTGTACTGTTGAGAAAGAAATAAATGTTAATAGATACAAAATACAAAAATCTTGGGGCAGCGGACCCAATAAAGTCCGCAGGAGTGGATGAAAATCATATGAATGTACGTGAGGCAAATGATGCCTTGTTGAACAAATTCATTGAATGTCATTAATGGCAATAGCTGCACACTTCCGTCATTTTGATTGCGTCATTATCTTCGCTATTCGAGCATTAGAAGGCAATTTAATAGTCCGAGCGCCAGTAATTAATCGCAATACTTTCACTGTTTACTTTGCATTACATTTTTGTGCTACGTCATTCTCACTTAGCGCGTCATGACGGCTGCGCTTGAGGCGTTTCTTTACTGATGTACGTTTCCGTCAGCAACTTTAACGCGCGATGTAGTGTAAGTGGGATACTTACACAAAGAGACAAGAAAATGAACAAACTGACCATTACGTAGAATAACCTTCGCGTACATGCATGTATTTTTTTCATAAAAATGGAGTAACGTAGGCAATAACGCATTCGAAATAACATCTCTGGTGCATAAGGCACTTAAAACCTTGACAGTCGCTAGCGCATTCTTACGTCAAAGAAATAAAGCCCTGTGTTTAACGGGCATTTCGTACGATTCTTTGTCTACATGAGCGTGTGGGTTACACTAAAATCCTTTGCTCGATTGATGTTTATAATCCACTTCCGTATACAGGACCAAGGCATAATCCGAGCACCCGGCTCACGCAGTACTGTGGGTTATTCGCCTATGAGAAGATGGATGAGGGATATGGTATGTGCACCTGGAAGGTCCTGGAACAAATATGGGACAAGAGTAAGGACATCAACCGTGATAGATACATGCTAGAACTCTTCAGGATGGCACGGAACGGGATGTTGTGCTACGCCGAAGGTGCCCGAGTAGTCAACGTCCATGGACCCTGTGAAGCGTTGGAACTCGCGTGCCGTCCCCACGCCCCCAAAATCATTGATCAATGCTGGAGTGAGTATAATATAGTCATTCATTGCTTCCATTAACAACAAAAAACAAGAAAATCGCATATTCATGCCAAAACTTACAATCATTTGCTCCTACTTCCTTGTGTAACCTGTGATGCATGTGTTCTTCTGATGACCTTAGAATTAGCGTTCAATTTCAATTCAATGCTGGGGTAAGTATGATACAGTCATTCATTGCTTCCATTAATAAAAAAAATCAAAAAAATCTCAAGGCTTTAACAAAAAATTAATTGACTTGTTAAAGAAAATCGCATATTCATGTCACAACTTGCAATCCTTCTACTCCAGCTTCATGTTGTAAACTGTGATGCATGTGTTCTTCTGATTGCTTTAGAATGAACATTCAATCGTTGTTCTTCTTTCTGTTTCTGAATACTTTTAGGGTTGTCCCAAACCAAGCCACCAGCCGCCCCTGCCGCACCAACTCCTCGACCGGAGCCTCCTGCAACGCCCCGTGGCCGCGGCATTTAAAACCTTGACGAAGCTACTCAACGAAAGTCTCTCACCCACCTTCTCTTAAACTATTAAACTAATATGCCCGTTAAAACATGATGCGTAATTTTACTGACGGATGACTGCGTCATTTTACTGACGTATGACTGCGTCAACGACCAATGCGATCCTGGATGCGCCAAATGAGATAGAGATCTACATAACGTGAATGAAAATGTAACCATAAAAATAAAACGCTGAAGTACAGGCGTATGGGTTAAGCACTTTCACGATTTTGTTTAGCGCGGTAATCGAAATGTTTCTTCGTGTATAACAGGCATTAAACTCTCATATGGTTCCTGACGTAGCCCTATATCAGAAAACATGTCGCATCGTGGGCATCAGGAGTAATGCATGTTGCATAATCCGGTTTCACTATTACCTACGCTAATCAAACCTGTGGGGAAAATTATAGCATGTGCAAATAATACCATGCGTTAATATTTGTTGTTGTAAGGTACTACTTTTGCAATGACTTTTTGAAATACATTATGCCCGTCTCTTTTTGACGTAGGAGTGCGTCAGACACTGACACGTTCTTTTAAACATGTAAACCATTAAAAAAAAAAAAAATGTAGTAATAATTTGTATCTGTATGTTACGTTATCGTGATGATAAGTAAGTTCAATTTCCACATTTAACAATTCGGTTTAGAATATGACAATCGTGATATTTGAAATTTATTTTAATATAGCACGTTGCAATGATGAATGAAATTATTATTTGTTGTAGTTCTAAGTTTTAAAAATTCCAATATGCTTGTTTTTTTCTTTCATGAATGAATAAATCGAAAATGAACATATGTGTACTAAATCTAATTGAAACCGTTTTTCGTCTTTTCTTATGTAATAAGTTAATGCGTCAATCTTCCTACACGATGTGTATTTCCTTGAATTTGACTATGTCGAAAGAAAGAAGACGTTGGAAATAGATAATAAAGAGAGAAATGGCTTTAATAATTCGAGAAAGACATATAATACCCGAAATGTAGATAAATAATTGAGAGAGAGGGAAAGGGAGAGAGAGAGAGAGAGAGAAAGAAAGAAAAAGACAGATAGCCGAGAGCCGAGAGACAGACAAGAGGAAGAGAGAGAAACAGGGAGAGAGATAGGAGATATAAGAGAGAGGGGCAGGGAGAGAGTGGGAGAGAGAGAGAGAGGGAGAGAGTGGTGAGATAAGAGGGAGAAAATAATAGAGAAGGGGAGACTAACGTGCGTGTAGAGACAGAGACAGAAAGAAGGAGAGAGCGCGGAGCAGAGATAGGAGAAGATCTGACGAATAAAGACGGGATTAAAATGAGAAAGGAATTACACCACGAGTTCGAGACGCACGACTGCAATACGATACATAAGGGAGAACCAGAAAGTACTATTAAATTTGGATAATTTTTTTAGGAAACAGGAAATTGATTCCATGATTGTAATAATACTCTCTTTTCTGCAATTTTATACTTCATGAATGTACATTTTCCTAGATAATCGGTTATCAATTTCGTTTGTTAAAACCCAGATATTCCTTCTTTTAAACTGACAATTTCTGCATTGCTTACTTTTATTCTTGTTTCATGTAAACTGAGAAATGTGTCCATTTTTATTGATGAATATGACATATAATATCACACTTCTGATATTTTACAGATAGTCGAATGACTTGCAGATATTTTTATTTGTAGAATATCATTATATTTCCATTGGCTACATGGCATACAGGGGTAACATTGGTAAGAACATGAAGAATAATTGTGTGTTTTTTACCATTTGGATATTAAAATAAAACGACGACGAGTTTAGGAACAAAAGGTAGTTAAAGAACAAAAGAGCAAAGTGATCCCTGTGGAACTCCACATATGATGTATTAGATTCCGACATCATTTTGTACATTTTGATGACTACCCAAGAAATTAGCCAATTAGTGGGACTCCACTAAATTTAATGTTATTATCTAACCCATCCAGAAGGATTTTTCCTCTAACATCACTTATCAATTAGCGTGAGTAGTTTCAAGAGGACGAGTGATGCAGTTTTTATCCTTTTCCCCTTCTTCCTTGCTCTTTTTCTCTTTTCTATCCCTTTTTTCATGACTCGTTTTCTTTTGGGGGGAAGGGGGCACGTGTTCAGTGCCTCCCAGTAGTTATGCCACTGCCTCTTCCTGTAATGAATTTTACGTGAACTTTGATGACTTCTAAATGATCAAAATTGCGTAAAGTTTGGCAAGGGCTCAAGATGTATTTGGAGCCAATGTTGCTGGGGTGCTAACTTTACACCCAACTCATGCACCCAGGGGCAAGCTTCTGCACCCCTGGGGGTAAGCGGAGATGGTTTCTCAAATACATACCCCATGGATAAAATTTCGCCCCTAGTGCAATGGTATATACATGGTATAAATACCGACACTGGGCGGGGAGCACCAGTCGAGTTTTGGTAACAACTGTATTAACATCAAAAAACTTTTAAAAAAACTTCCGATTCGAAATACTTTGCACACCTACAACTACAAAATGGCTGCAACGGTAAGTGCGATAATTTTAAAGCAAACATTTTCTTTCGATGCTCCGAAATTTTCTCCTGCAACGATTGCTCCGGAATTTATGTCGTCGAAAAGTACAGGGTTTGGGTTAGGATTGCAAATGAGTTTTAGGTTAGGTTTAGTGTTGGTCCTTGTATTGAAGTTAGGAATTCGATTAGTGTAGAAAATAATCGCGGAGCAATCGTCGCAGTAAAAAGTGTCGTATATAAACTGGAAACGATTTAATTTTGTTCACATTTTCCTGCACTAATTTGGTCTCTCAACCCTTCAAGCAATTTAAAAATTGATAACTTCCTGTCACGCTAAGTAGCGTTAAAGTTGATTATGGACATGTCAATTATTTGTTAATTTTGGGGAGGGGGAGGTACTCTACGCTGCAAATTTCAAAGTGTCTTATCATAACATCGGACATATATTTCCAGCCTACTGATATAGTTGTAAATTCATGATTTAAACAATAATATTAAAGCAATTTAATTTATGTTGAACCATATTGAGAAGTACAAGATATTTATTGAGTTACGATGGCTAAGTAAGAGGAGGAGAGTACATTAATTGACAAAAATTGCTCTGTCTGATTCAGTTGCGAAATTTAACAATTTTTTTTACATTTGAAATTAATCACTTCATGTATTTTCGTAAGAATTGAAAGTCGAACAACTAAGGCTGTACGTACGTTAGTACACAGAATCGAGCAGTTTCAAATCATATTAAGATTACGTATTACAACTTTTTCAAGGTGTATACAAGAAAGAAAATGCCCGAAACCCAAATATTGATCTAAGAACGAATTCTGTTAAATACTATCTAAACTTTATATTTTCACTAAACGAATCGAATACGATTTTAAATCAAACTGATAATGATTGTCGTTGAAGTAAGAAATGTGATTATTGCTTTTGGATTTTTGGATTTTGTCTGTCTTACATATTAAAAGTTATTAAAGCAAGATTTAAGGCTGCAAAAACAATTAATAATGGTAATAATTTTGTGCTGTCAATCACATAACTTAATTTCAGAAGATGATGATCGTGGCATTCTGTCTATCTGTTGGGATCAGTGTTACACAAGGAAACGGATTGTTTGGCATGTACGTCAAATACGGCAGATATGGCCCGGGTAGGTGTTTTCTTTCTTTATTCCCCTTTTCACGTAAGTTGTAGATTCCGTGCAACTACAGTGTGTATATATATATATATATATATATATATATATATATATATATATACACGTATTACACGTTCACATATATCACATCAACTGAATAAACACACTGACAGCCCAACACACAAGCAAGGTAAAACACTTTGAAATTGCATAATCTTTTCTAAGTTTATTCCCAAAGTATTTCTCGTACTAATTTTGCTTTGTTCATGATGCTTGACTATGGTTGAGCGATATTAAGTTTGTATGACGTTTATATATATTTGTTCATACAATGTATTTGTTTTTGTATGTGTTTGCACTTCATATATATATATTTATCTTGATATGACAATGGCTAATAGTTCTTAGTATAAAAGATCGCACGGAATCGCCAGTTAGACAAATTAGAGATGAAAATAGTTAATTGCTTGACCGGGCATACAAATATTTCCCTACGGTGGATGACTCGTATAAAAGAATCAGATATATTAAAACTAAAAATGTTTTAAAACCTTTTAATTCTCACACGGCTTCGCCCCGGTCAATGATCCCTGGAGTATAAACGAAATTCTTGAATGATTTAAAGGCTGTCTGTCCAGGGCCTGGACAGCCTTTAAATCATTCAAGAATTTCGTTTATTTATGATTTTCAAGCTGTGAAGGAATAATGCGAATTAATGCTAAAATACTCGACGGTTTAACAAATAGTATAGGGTAGAGGATAGATCCTTGGGGAACACCTGAATCAAAGTTCTTTGCGGATACGAATCGTGTTCTGTATGATAAAGTAATTCCCAGTCCATGTGCAATGTGCATTGATGATGTTGCCTAGCTAGGACTTGTGTTGTTGAAAGCCTCGGAGAGGTCAAATTTGAAATGAAATAACATGGCTTATGTTTGATATGTATGTTTCGCGAAATCCGAATTGGCGCTTGGCTGCTCTTGGCGGCTTTTCATATAGGACGTCATTTATTTCATGAGCGTGTGTATTGTCATCCCTTGTTCGGTTAGCGTTTGCAATCCTCTTTAATTTACAGGACCGATGCATAATCCCACTGCTCGTCTCACGCGGTATTGTGGGTTATTTACTTGGGAGAAGATGGATGAGGGATATGGTGTATGCAACTGGAACGTCCTAGAAGAAGTTTATGACAAGGATAAGGATATAAGCCGTGATAGATACATGCTAAAACTCTTCAGGATGGCACGAAACGGAATGCTGTGCTACGCCCAGGGCGCCAGCGTCGTCCCTATTCGAGGGCCTTGTGATGCTATGGAACTTGCGTGCAGCCCCCGTGGACCAAAAGTCATTGATCAATGCTGGCGTAAGTATAACATTGTCGTTCTTTTTTGTGGGCGTTACAATGAAAGGAAAAGAAATGATAATGGAGATGATTTACATGCACTTAAAGGAAAAATCAAATTTGGTGATATGATTCTTTGAATTGAAGCAGAAATATGAGGAAAAAGGAATGTCCAAAATTTGGAGAAAAAAATTAGACCAAAGCAAGTAAACCATCAAATGTGACCTCAATAATGAACTACCTTATCTTCACTGCAGGAGAGTACCCTTTAAATCTTTGTTTATGTGGTGTTATTTTGTTTGTTCATTTAGGTTTATCTCAAGCGCAGCCCCCTGCTGGTCCACCCAAGAATCCCCGACCGAATCCGCCTACTGGCCCACGAGGCGGGGGAATCTAAACCCGTGACGGTGCTACTCGATTAATATCTCTCGCACTTTTTTTTTTACTAACGGCCATTGCGTTATTTCGATTGAGTTATTACCTGCGTCAAACATACCAAAGACGGGAATAAGCACATACGCCAATACCTAACAGCGTTGGTTGCAATGTTTAAATTTTGCATTTATTTGTTGAACGAAATAAATTTGTCATGTAGCGTCGATGATCACACCAGTCTTTAGCGCAATTATACGTCAAGCAAATGATAAACACATGCGTCTATAATTCAAAGCATCGTTTGCTCTGTTCAATTTTGCATGAATTATTAGAAACATACCGCGGACATTGACACTCTAAAGTGTGCGCACACGAGCCATTGTTTGCCTGACCAGTCACTGACGCAATCCTACGTCAGGCAAATAACGCCTCGTGTGCAACGAGTATAGTTAGATGGCCAGTGACTGATGCCGTTTTTGACACGCAATGTGAGAGCGAAGTGATACAAATTAGCAATTGCAAAATGGACAGTGACACATTGCAGTGAGTTACTTGGGTTTTTGTTTCTGTTGGAGGAGGGGGGTGGGGGGGGGGCGGTAATTCCATTCAAAGATTGTATTGTTTATTTTGCATTCACTTTTTGCACAGTTAATTTTTCATCTTTACACTTTTTCCCTCCGTAACCTGCATAAGCGTTAGTAATATTGCAATATTCTGTTAGTACAAGTTATAATGTTTTATAAGTCATGAATTGTCAAACTTAATGTCACAGCCCTTGTACATTCGAACGCTTATGTTTTAATTCTATTTCCATGTACTAATCCAGTTACTTGGCCCTCCCCTAACTACCTGCTAGATTAAAAAGGAATATAATTACATGTTTCATCATAATGTGAAATGATTGTAGGTCATTCCAAATCACTTATCATTGTTTAGGCGTATTATATTGAACTAATGTTAACCATGTAGGCTGTAGCATGAACGCGTGCAGTAGTAAGAAGAAAATGCCTTGTTTGTAAATACTAACAAAATGTATATCTGCCTTGTTCTCCACGTATTCGATTGTATTGTATTTATTAAACTTCATTGATGTTCATCAATAGTCTGCTTATAAACATATCAATCAATTTATAATGCAATGTAACTAATCACTATTCTGTTTGTTAACATATCATATAAATCAATTTACAATGCAGTGTAAATATAATTTATCTTATGTATGATATAAAGATCGAAAAATAAATATGTCACTGAATTGATAGATTTTTTTTCTTTTATCCGAATATCGGTAATTGATAATGTTAGAATGTTAGTACATGAAAAGAAGGGTGATGGCACTGATGGAGTCAGAAATAATTTAGAGTCATATAATAAAGAGAGTAAGGATAAGAAAACAAAAAATAAGGGGCAAAGATATTAAGAAATGTAGCTAGCGTGAGAAAGCGATCTTAGAAATACAAAAGAATAGAGAGGTCGATAGAGAATTGGTAAAATATAGATAAGAAATAAGGGGCAAAGAAAAGAAATGTCGCTAGCGTGAGATAGAGATTTTAGAATATAAGAAAGAATAGGGAGATCGAGAGACTATTAGTGAAAGACCGATTAGGAAGAGAGAACGGCCAGAACGTATAATGAAAATGATATTTCTTGCTCATATCATCAACCTTCTCAATGCAATGACATTCTCTCTATTCTTATTTATATATTTCTCCTTCTGTCTCTTCTCTCCCTCTCTCTCTCTCTCTCTCTCTCTCTCTTTCTCTCTTTTTCCTCGTTTTTTTTTTCGTCTTCTTCTTCTTCCTTTTCTTCTCCTTCTTCTTCTTCTCATTCGTCTTCTCCGTCCTCTTCTTCTTTCCCCTCTTCTTCTCTGAATCAATTCTCAACACTTTTCCATGATAATGACCACGAGGATTCAAAATTGTATATATTATATCATTCTCTATACAATCACGTCATATGACATTGGCAATTGCTACATATTATTTTTAGGTCTTCTGTTCACCCTACCTCTCTCCCCGAACCCTCCCATATCTGATGTTTAGTGTATAGAAAAAGCCATGAACGTAGCCCTGATCCTATTTCGAATATGGATTAATGTCATCACTATCAGTCAGCATCTAAAACATGAGAACTTCTTATCAGTGGGAAAAATCAATGTAAAACGGCAAACGGCAAAGTGAATTTCAGCATCGTATCAACTTCATTGTAAACTTATCCACTTGATTTGCTGACGAACTATTTTTCCACCCATTAGGTATAAAATATTGTCATCATTTAGTTAAAAAGAGGAAGTTCTAATAACCAATGATGGAATGCGATCGTGATTAGCGATCTTATCTTCGAGCTTTCCCAATTTTGACACTCCCGAAAGCTACGACAAATACAAAATGATATACAATAACCAGTAACTTTAATATCTCATAAAAAAGCATAGTTCAAATATAATTTTATGTTCTGCAGACAATATAAAATGAAGGCTACCAGAAACCCAATACATAACAGTGTCATCATTTTACAAATTTATTGATAAATATATAAAAATAGATACACATAATATGTGCCATATTATATGACAGAAGATATATATTTGCTGAGTAATATTCACCGGGTTTTTTCATGAGAGGTTGGGACAATGTCCGTATCAAGTCAGTTTTGTTTTATACCTGCAACGTTGCCCTGTGTGTATACAGTTAACACTAAATCACTCATACCCTTTTATACCTAGTTTTGTAATCTTTTAAGTAAGTTAAAATGTGTTTGTCCCATTTTATATTTTACGAGGATCTGATTTATTAATAGCTTATTGAACTAATTCACCTTTCATTCTTGAGTAACACAAAACACAACAAGCATCAAATTTACAAGGGTTATGAACAACCTAGGTGTTAATTGTATATTGTTGGCTCTTTCAAGGGTAACTAGTTTTCAAGGCGTTTTCAACACGTTTTCGATATTTTTGTTATAAATTTGGCAAGCATAAACTACGCTTTAACTTTATGGAAATATCAATTACCAGTATGGCATGGTATTTATTTTCCGATTCACGATATATAAAGCAATACAATATAATAGAGAATATAGTGAATGGCTGAATAACCCACTCAGCTTTGTGACTTTGACTTTGTGAGAGTGACTTTTGTGACATTTTACTCGAAATAAAGCTTCATAGCCGGTATTACAAAATTGGCTTCATCTTTTTAAATCTCTATATCAACCACAATAAAAAGAAACATAAATGTCATTATATAAAACTCATGAAATAAAACTAAGAAAAATATGAACCTAGCTAGATAATCATATATATTTCAGTCGAGTTGTCAGAGTATAAAGCGGAAGCATCTTAGCTCAGAGTGTGGCCATTTTGGTTGAAAGGTTACGGTGAGTCACCATATATATAGCCATGAATCGGGGGGTATTACCACGGACCTAGGTCCATGATATTACCCATCGGAACCGAGTTGACCTAACTATTTAAGAGGTTCTGTAGATAATCATATTTATATCGAAGACAGTTCCGGTTTTACGCCACTTGCTCCTGTGACTATTTCTCAACGGTAATTCATACACTGACCGAATTCAACCTTTGACCCAACACTAAACCCAACCATGACCTCTAACCTAAACTTAACCTGAAACCTAACTGTTACCCCAAGCCTGCCTCTATACCTTTGACTTGATAAAGACCGGATCAATTGTCGCCGGAACAAACGCCGTATCACCCGACTGTTACCGAACCTCTGCAGAGCTCTTTAAAAAGGCACTTTTTATGTTACGTCTATATAGCTCTAAAGGCGGAGAACAAACTGTTCCCAAAGATAGTGATGTCAATGAAAGCGGTCTCAAAGACCCTAACATTTCCCCCACCCCATTCTTTTTGCGACATATAATGTTGGAACATGCGAACGTAATTTTATGAATGACTGATGTACTACATGATTTCTACAGAGAATAAAAATGAGGAATTGAAACTGCCCTTAGTCTTTGCAATCTTGTATAATGATATTTCAGGCGATGCAGACCTCTGATCAAACTTTTTAAACATGCCCTGTTACGTTTGTGAGTAGCATAAGGTGGTGTAAGGCAACGTGGTAAAGTTCTGTGACTGCAATGTTCTTTGCCCAGCTGCTACACTCTTTTAAAAAAGGTTATGTTACGTTTATGACTTCTATAAGAACGTGAAGCTATTCTCGTGTTCTATAAGGTTCTATGTTTCATCCATGATTCGTTGCCACCTTGTTCTTGACGTGGTAGATGATGTAAGCAGGATAGGAGAAGGTGAGGAGATTGGCCACTATGAATCCGATCAAAACCTGCAAAGAAGAATCAATCAAACTTAAATAATACCGGTTATCCAGGAGCCTGTCGATATGATGAATGTACATTGATACATAGCTATTCTGGTTATACCACACATGTTAAGGAGTCAGTAGGCCTAGATCAGTCAGACAAAAAAGTAGAAAAACAGGGTACATGCAAATTCTTGAAAAACAGCGAATAACGCTCAGTGTATATACCGCCCTCAAGCAAGGCAGATTGTACAAAATGGATAAATAGTTAATTATGACTGAAATGCCATTTAGCCCAATCAACAACAAAACAAATCTTTCAAAATCAACCTACTGTCAATACAATTTTTTTTGTATTGTAAATTAAAATTTGGTTCAAGTTTCTAAAAAAATACATGAAGGATATGTCATGCAAATATCCTTCCAAATGACATACATGTGAAATGAATATATCCTACGCATTATTTTTTTCCAAACATGTACAGTAGGTTGAATTCGGGATATTTTCCTCTTGTCACACTGCCACGCAATGAACAATGAGGGCACTATATTCATTGTGGGTTGTTTTCGAGTAATTGCCTGTATTCTATTTTCGAAGTATATCCGCCGACTACATCCTGCACTACACGATTTTCCAACTTTAACCCGAAGATTCAAAACGAAGAAATAGGAAATAAATGTTAGGAAAATAATTGATGGTAATTTAGAAGGTATAACGGTAGCTAGTTATTGATAAGTTATTAATCTTAATTATATTAAAAGGGCTGGCCTGGTCGGACTGGATTCAGAATAAGTACGACTCGGCTACCACACTTTTTGTATCTGGATAAATGTGTGAGACTATCATCAATTCATCATAACATCGCTAAGTATAACGATGCATCCAGGACGTACGTTTTCAAGAGTAATACACATCAAGAAAATGATTCCTCTGTCACCCCGCCCCCCCCCCCCCCCCCCCCACTCAGAGGTCGGAATGACCGCATGCGTGTTGCCAAAATGTCCGGTAAAGGGCTTTTTCGTGCGACAAAGTCCGGCCCGAGAATTGTAAAAAAAGGGGTGTATTTGACTTTCCACCCTGAGATTTCTTTAAAAAGGGGGTGTTTTTCTTTTTTTCTCTCATCTCTTTGGACTCCTGAGAAAATATTCCGAATTTAGGGGGGTACATTGAGCATTTTTCCTGATTTAGGGGGGTCTGCAAGGCAGGAAAAGCCTGTGAAAAGCCCGCGAAAGGGTGGTTTGGAAATGTTGGCAGTCCTCAGATAGGGGGTGCTTTCAAAAAGAGGGTACGAGCATATGCGTACCCTAAATAACACTGAGTGGGGGGGGGGCCGGGTCTGTCACACCATCAAACTGACTGATACTTGACAAAATCTTGGCCAATTTTGGATACCTGTCATGGATATCAGTCTGTTCTTGGTGTTGCCGGCTTTATACCTCATTTGATAATTTGATGATTTTTGTTGTTGTTCGGTCTATTGTCAAGTCTGGTGTCGATCTTGACCGACTCCAAACTGACCAATATCAACAAACTCATGGCCTTTCGCAGTAATGAAACATTTTGTTCTGACCGTTGTCGGTCTGTTGTCTTTCTTGGCCGACTCGAAACCGACCAACAACCAACACACTCATGGCCATTTGCGGGAATGCAAATTTTTGTTCGGACCGTTGGCGGTCTATAGCATCGGTCGCGTCGACATTAAAGTGGTACAAACGAGGGTGTGATGTCTAGGTATAGGTACGTGATTGGTCTTTGTCAGAGGTATATATATATACTCACATATGCAGGATCACCAAAGAGCACATTTTGGATGAGGATGAAGAGCGGATACTGAAGAAAGCCACAGACACCGATCAATAAGTATGTCATACCATAAACGATACCATAATATCTCATCGGAAACCTGCAATCGACATGAAAAACATGATATAAGAATTTCATACTTTAAAAAATGTGTATCATAGTGTTCGTTACCAATCTGAAAGCGAATAATTATGAAGAGTTTAATTTCATACAAATCGTCTCAGCCCTTTCAATACTTTCTGTGATAGCAAGCGATTGCAATATATTGGACGCCCTCCAATAAAACATCTATCTAGCAGGAAAATAAAATTATGACAGTGAACTTTTGATTATTTTGATCATCAATTGATTTTTAACTTCAAAATTCTGACTTCAAAATAAAATAATTAAATTGAAACATTAACATCCTATGTAATTCTTTGTTATAGAGGCAAATTTTCTTATGATTCCAAGCATTTTTTCATTTTAAAAATCGAGAAATAGATTACAACGATACCGTACGAATTATATCTTAAATGGAATGACATTTTACTGAGATACGCACGTGAGTGGAATAACCCCTGCCGACACACTGTACAACATTGACCTGCACAATGTCAAGAGTGCAAAGGTCAAATACTGGAGAGGGAGGATCGGAACCAGCATGCACGCCGTGTAGGCTAGTGACATCAGAGTAGTGCAAGTCACTGCCAACCAGCTGTTTCGTAGGTCGGTGTATGGCCCATACTCAGGTTCTAGAACCAGATGAAAAAGAGTATAGATACAACAATTTGTAAGGATGGCGAGAACTAGTGAGGGAATATTGATGATAGTAATAAATCGTGTCAATTATTAATGGATAATAGCCTATTGTAGCTCACATACAAAACAAAATGACGAGCCCGACACGATTGGTTAAATTGAGGTCACATGGCAAAGGATCAATGCTTATTCTTTCACTTTATAAACAAAAAACTATTACATGCTAGTATAGAAGTTGTTTATTTTGATATTTGTGTATATATTTATTTATTTATTTTGTTTATTTAATTTTTTTAAATAATTGCTTGCTCATGAATTAAGTTTTACAGCTGCCGAGGCGTCACATTTGTACATGAATATATACATGCTATTAGCTAATAGAGAAGGTTTTACAAAAATGAAATGAAAATGAAAAGATTTTGTAAATTAGCTCCTCCGAAACATCATTATTTCGTTCCTTAATTTTCTTCATGTATTTCAGAAATGTGTACTTTTTTTGTTTTGTTAACCCTTTCTACTTTTCATCATCATTCCCGTTCCACTGTACTGATAAGGGATATTTTTCGAACAGGACTTGTGTTATATCTCCATCTACTTTCTTTTCAAATGCAAGCATGGTATAAAACAGTTAAATATTGTCTTATTCATTAGCTTTAAAAACATTTAAAAAAGTAATAATTGGGTAGCTACATCAGTATTAATACTGCTCTGGTCGTGCGATTACTTTTACCCCAGGGGGCGCTTCACAAAGATCCTAAGTTGAACTTATCTCTAATTTGGACTTAACCATTATGGAAAGCCGCTAGCATCTTTGGAAATATTTTGTAAAAGACATTATAAAAAGCATAAAATTTTGTTTAAAATCAATCATATTTTCTATTATCAAGGAGATTTCATGTGCTTAATGAGGAATTTATGAAAAGTCTAAAATACTTGCATTTTTGCTTTTGAATATATATCATTTCAAGGCTACAAATGGCTCTCCATAATGTTAAAATCCAACTTAAGGTTAAGTTCGACTTAAGGATCTTTGTAAACCACCCCAGCAGTGACCAGATACCCATAATTCCTGGGTGTGGAGTGGCAAACATGGAATTATCGGGCTGGGATTCAAACCCTCGACCCTTGGATTGAAGGTCAGGCGAATGAACCACTTAACCACGACATTAGGGACTTTTAGATTCGCACGAAGACAATAGGTCTATGCTACGATTGACGTCCTGTTAATGCACTGCCGTGAATGGACGTCACACGTGTCAGTCCACTCAAATCTAAAAGTCCCTATTTCCGCAGGACAACGACTTGCATTAATTGTCTCCAACAAAATATAAACTGAATTAGTTGAGAAGAGAGTTTACCTGAGACTGTTTCTGACGAACACAAGGTGAGTTTTCTTCGGTCTAAAAGCAGACCGCCAAGTGGGCCTCCAATCATACTCACGAAGCTCATGAGAGCTAGAACATTGGTGTAATGACTCACTGAAGAAGAATCAGGAAAAAGATGGTTTTCATCGATTTATAAATTTCCATATTCATAATTGTAAGAGCCTTTTACCTCGATAAACTTAATCCATCTTCTAAATGTAGGATATGTCAAGGCATAGCTCATTGGCCGTCCGATATAGACAGTTTAAAAATACTTGAACCATTAGAGCAGTTTTAGAAATAAAATGAAATTGATGCAGAATAAGTTACAGTATGATTGCATATCTTTTCGATGCTTTTATCTTCGGTGTAATTGTCATCATCATCATCACTGCCACGATTTATTGCAATCATCATAATTACCATCTCCACATTCGTCACTATAGCTACACCCTCCGCCTACTCCTCGTCTTCATCAAATAATAATTATCAACATCGTGATGATCATTAGCGATGTAGCATAACCAGATTCGGTCACTGTCGGTCTTGAAATAAAATAATGAACGCTATCAAAAGTTCACCTCTCCTTCTCTGTCTAAACATCTTATGACTTAGTGATTATGATAATAGCCATCATCATCATCATCATCATCATCATTATCATCATCATCAACATCGTTATCATTATTATTATCGACAACACCATCTTTATTGTCTTCATTGTATAAGACCATGTAAGACAAATCGTAGATTAACCTACCTTCGTCGAGATCGCCATCGGCAAGCCACGTCAGCCACGGGTTCATGATCCCCAACACGAAGAGGAGCTGGAGTTGGATGACGATGGCCCAAAACGACATGAAGAAAAACATCGGACTCTTCAAACACGAGAAGAATGTCGGGTATAACTCGTCCCTCCTCTGCTCAGCACTGTGCTCGTGGACGCTCTCGCGGCGTTTAGCCAGGGTCTTCTCATTGATACTCTCCAGGGGGTTTCCCAAGGTGCTTTCCTTGGTCCACTTTTGTTTGGATGTATCCTTGCTGCTGCCTTCCGCCAAAGACAACGACACCCTCTTTTTTACTGCGAATAAAAGGAATGGTCTCTTGTGTTTGTTAAATCGTTTATTTAATAATGTTTTTTTTTAATGGAGTTGGAATGTCATTGATGATTTGTTGACATGGCTTTAAAACTCAAGACACGGCTTCAAAACAAGGCCATATTTAAATTCGAAAATTAAAGTCATTAGAAAATGGGGAAAAAAGAATATCACTATAAAAGCCGATGCTAATATATCCATGTAGCATAACATCCCTCAATATACATATATATTTCCGATATAAAGTCCACGTGTTGGCTTAAGGTGACGTGACCAAATTAAAACTCGTCGATTTAAAGGACGAAACCTCTCTTCTTCATCAATTATCTGTATATAGTTGTCGATATATTCATAACAAATTGTTCAATTTGGATAATCCTCCGTCACTGCAATATACAAATAATAATCAAAACAATTGAAATAAAATTCCTAGAGCGTTCATTAATATAAGTAAGCATGACTTCATCTTTACATGTATTCAATTCTATTGTTCATCACCGTACCTTTGTACACCTCCTCGTCTTCGAACCCCAGATTATCGCACTCGATTGTCTGCGTGCCTACGTCGCACGATTTATAGTTCGACTGAAAATTTCCTTCACTTGACCTCAGGACCATCTCTTTCTCGTTGTTTCTCGTTGTTTCTCGTTCGACATCGGGATCTGGAGAGCAGGCGCAATGCAGGCTGTAGTCGTCGGGGAGGGGCCATGGAATATGATAGCGGGGAAGAAGGCATATGTTGACACCGAAGAAGACTGTGGAACATGCGAGCACCAGGGAGGAAACTTCTAACGAAATCCCGTTCTCATACGCAATCTAAAATATGATAGTAATTATATTAATAGTAATAATAATAATTCGGTAATAATAATGACAATAATAAAAAAAATAAAAAATCATAATAACAAAATCAGTAATGATGACAATAAATTATTGTAAACCATTTACTGGCATTGGTCTCTCAAGGGACGTACAAATCATGGTCACCGTGACAAATCTACATAATTTACATGTGTTGATTAGTTCATTATTGAAGAAAAAACTATTGACTAAATATCATAATTAAGAGACCAATGGTGAGAGCAACCAGTATCAAGAATGGCCTGTCATAGTTACGTCCAACTTAAAGTCGATCTTAGTCTTTGTGAAACACTCCCCAAAGTCGGTATGGAGTCTGTTTTGAGGGGGGACTGATGTATAAGTCCCCCTTTTTTAAAGGATGGTCGTAAACGGTGGTATGAAAAATACCTTACCTTTATTAGAAGGAAGATCAGCGTTGAAGTATCATAGCAGCCGTTCATCACCCCAATGACGGTTGACTTTTGAGTTGGAAATAGATTGGCAATCTGCAGAGAGAGATATAATTATATAATGCGGTTATGTACAAAGTCTACTTAATGTTTTTCATATCTAAAGGCTAGTTCGGATATTACGCGGTGACCGATGCAAAAAAGAAACTGCCACGGTTTATTTAAGTATGAGTTTAATTGCAACTTCGCAAATGGCAATTGTTAGGTATACATGTTTTACATGTAGTGTTGGATCCATGGGTGAAATAAAGAAAATTTGATAAGTCTATGCAATTGAAGCGGAGCAATGGTCGCAGGAGCAAGTGTCGTAATCAAACCTTTAACGGCAGTCAACGAGACCGACGACTCCCCGCCCCCGGCTAAACCCAATTTGCCATGCACACATGAAAATGTATTCGATATAGTTTTGCTCATAACCTTTGCACGATGCGTCTATTCGCTGCGTAGAATTTTATCATCTGCGCTTACCAAGCCTGTAAAGACAACTGGAGCATGCGCCATTAAAGGTAATACAAAGTTTTGGTATGAGTTCATGAATTTGGTTCAAATGAACATATTGGAAGCATATACGATCCTACAATATTCAGTGATCGTTGTCGCGGTCGAAATCGACTCTAAAGTTATGAAATTGTAAATAATAAACACTTTATGTTGAATAGCTCCCTCTCAAGGTCAAGATATTAATTAAGCTATAAAACAATGTTTATTGACTAAAATTGACTGATTAGCTATTCTCGTTCGGAAATTATATACCACAACTACATACTCTGAGATTTTCATGGTCGCAGCTACCATTGTACGGCCGTAAGAGCTATTTGAAATTTATCAAAATTTACCGGGAGCACCGGTAAATCTTTATATTCAATTTTTCTCAAAAGCAGAAGTGTTTTAGGGGCTAAAATTTCTGGTGTTTTTAATAAATCCACAGGGGCATCCAAATATATTAAAATTGTAAAGAATCACTATCCACCCATTTTTCGAAATTTCCCAAAACTTTGTAATACCTTTAATCATGTTAATGCAAACCGATGATCGTATTATTTATTTCTACATTCATTTGGTGTACGATATCACGCATATAGGACCGCGTCAAGGTCCGCGCTAATCGCTGACGCAATGCTAGGTCAGGCAATTAATTGGCGCAGTCCTACGTCAGGCATTTAATTGACGCCCGTCGTGTGCGGGTGTTACTCACCTCGAAGCTTGCGAGTATAATGATGAGTCCTGCTGCCCCTAGTAAGATTGATGCAGGGTAGAGTAGACTTGGTATATCAGGCGAACTCAGAGCTAAACACGCGTAGCCACATATCATCATCACACTGTTAAAAAAGGGGGGAATTACCAAAGATAAATTACCTCTTAGATAAGTCTGTCCCTCGGATAGGACATAAAATAGAGGCCCCGTGTAAAGAAGAGTCACTACCTTTGCACGTCGAGAACCCACTGCACCGCACTATTCCAATGACCGGGGTAATAGTATATTTGTAAAGCGCTTAGAGACATTTGTATTAAGCGCTATATAAAAATTAAATATTATTATTATTATTATTATTATTATTATAATAAGAGTAGGGGGAAACCCCAGTGTAGTGGTCAATATGCGCACCCCAGTATAGTACGACAATACTCTGCAAAGAGGGATGTAATCAAATGGAAGAAGAAGAAGATTAATCCAGACAATATTTGTATACTTTAAAGGTCAATAAAACAACTGAATGAGCACATGATGTGATCAAATGTTATCATTCCCTACTTCCTCCTTTTTTTAACTTCTTCCATTTCTTCACCTCCTTTCCTTCTTCTCCTATTAGTAGTGGTAGTAGTAGAATGGTTTTTTATTAGACAACTTCAAAATGGTAGCCCGAAAGCTAAATTACATTGCAAGTTTTACATGTATTAAAAATCATTTCAACAAACTTAGATATGGACAAGTACACATAATACACAGTCGGGTAGATCATAACTAATTACATATTCCCTACTTGCAAACAAATTGATGAAACAAATAAAATAGATTCGGCGTTATTTTTTTTCTGTAATCATTGTTAAGTGAGGAATATTCATATTTTAAATATAAACAACTGAATGAGCACATGATGTGATCAAATGTTATCATTCCCCGGCTACTTCCTCCTTTTTTTAACTTCTTCCATTTCTTCACCTCCTTTCCTTCTTCTCCTATTAGGAGTAGTAGTAGTAGAATGGTTTGATACTATTTTCCCCCTTCTTCTTCTCCCCCTCCATCTTCTTATTCTTGTTCTCTACCATCTTTTATATCTAATCCTTAATCCTTCCCCTTCTCATCTTTCAATCAATAAGTTAATCAATCAATCAATGAAAACCACAACTGAGTTAAAACATGAAGAAATAGACATTTTCAAAATGAAACGCCAACCTTAAAGGCTTCCTGATGGCAGCCATAACAATTCTTGTCAATTCAGTTTTCAGTGATTAGTACGAAAACCGCGACATTCTTCTTTTCTCTATAAAGCAGAAGAGATATCTTGGGCAAAATCTTTCCAATATGGATGATTCAATCGCTTTCCTCTTTTCATTATTTGTTATTATGAATATATGAATGACCGTTATCGGTGAGGAGGTACCAGGCAGTCTAACAATTTTAATTAAGTGTGATTCAAAGACCAGAATCGTATGCATTGAGGAAAACATGCATGATAAGGTTTTGTAAAAGTAAAAAGCAAATTACGTCTGCACATACTATACAAACAGATTTCTTTTTTTATTTTACTTGTTTGGAAGACTCATGCATCATGACAATACGGGAAACAAAGTAAATCTACAACGCTGCGGAAAATGAATGACGTGCTTGGTTTGAAAATAAAAATGATAAAAACAAACATACTTTTGAATTCAATTCTCATGAGATTCTTATCCTACATAGGGCGTTGCCAATGTGTATACAGTGCATCCCAGAAAAAAACGAAACCGAGAACTATCGATGTTTTATCATACCTTAGTCACATTTATAATTAATAAATGACACTTATTTGGAAAGCTTAGATCTTCCTCTTTCATTTGATGTAACTCACATGATGCATATTTCGCGCATGAGTGAAAAAAGCAGAATTGACAAAGGACTTAACTCCGTTTCGTAGACAATCTTCCATGCATGAAGTCTTTCGTCTACAGCTGATTGTTAACGAAACGGAGTTAAGTCTTTTGTTAATTTCGTTGTTGCTACGGCAGGAAGCCAGTGAAAACGAATTCGTTTAATAAAATTATGGAAATGCAAGCACTACTTTAAACAAACAGAACTTTGTTATTCCTAGCTCATTTTTCCTGATTGAGGTGTCATATGAAAGGGCAGAAACTCAACTTTCTAGAAATGTGATTTTCTCTTTGAAATTCAAATACCGTCCGCCAAATGATTTTTTTTTGTTTCCTCTCTCCAAATTCATTTAAATCACTCAGGCGTGAAATATGCATTATATGAGTTGCATCAAATAAAAGAGGAGGGTCTAAGCTTTCCAAATATGTGTCATTTATTAATTATAATTGTGATTAAGTTATGATAAAACATTGATAACTCTCGGTTTCGTTTTTTCTGGGACGCACTGTAGGGTGGGTGCGCGGTTCTTCTTTAAAGAGGGGGCACAACATTCATTAGGGTTTTTCAGGCTCTTTTTAGTGAGCAGAAGTAAATTACAAAATTATATTTCGGTGTAATGGAGGTATGTCAGTTTGGTTTCAGCAGGGGGAACGGACCAGTTGTGCGCTACCCCCCCCCCCCCCTATTCCACCTTAGGGTGTGTGCTTGTGTGTGTGTGGGGGGGGGGTATGTGTTCCGATTCAAGAACTGATCGACTATAATGTATAAGAACTTCATGTTTTCGTTGTTTTCTACTGCAATTTCTGTACATTCCAAGCAAAATGTCTCCGAAATAACGAAGTTAACGCCCTGAATCCTTGTTTCGTGCGAAGCGGTACTGACAATGAACAATAAATGTCATAGTCAAACGATGAGCTATATATCTTCAATTATCTCTGTTTACTATATATATTGTGCTGGAGTTATGAGACTTTTCTCCCCCGTTGTAGTTTCGTCATGGTGTTCGGTTGAAGTGTACGTGCAAATGTATGAATATCCATGCCAAATATAACTCATTAAAATATTCAGAAAAGCAACAAAATGTAAGAAAATAAGAACGTTAATGATGTGTATTATCAACCGAGAGAGGTGTTCTTCCCACTTACTTCACAGGTCCGGGGAATACATAAAACAAGGATAGAACATAGTCATAATCTAAAAAGACTTGCGTGTTTCCACGCCATGTTGCCGGAAAAAAAAAGTTTGACTGTCTTAACTCTTGAAATTAAGATACATGTAAACTGTAAAGACACGTATATGTATAATATAGCAAACTTATATGTATGGAAATAACTGATTCAGTCAACTAAACATGCCAATTGTTTCGGTCCTTTCATCTTTCATTAAAAATCACAGCCGGACCGTCAAGGAAAATGTTCGAGAACCCCTGGTCAACATTATGATGTATAAATTATCAAAAGGGGGTATCTGTGTACAAAGTTCGGGGAAGGGTGAAACATATCACCCCTGCCTGTCATCAACCATAACAAGTGGTCTCTCGGTAGCAGCAACAATACAGCCTGGCTTTCCTAGCTGTCTCCACATTCATATGACATTTTTATTGTTGTTGTTGTATTGTATTGTAAATGTTTCTCTTTAACTTGTACGCTATGTTTTGCATTTTATATGTTTTTTAATGATGTTTTTATGATGTATGAAATGAAGATCAATTAAAAAAAAAAGAAGGGAATACCTGAAAACAATTCTTGAGTTTCTGCCACCAGTGATGAGAAGGAGGTATCCAGCTGGTAGCAAGCTGAGGGGGAGGATGACCGTAGCTACCGTGTATACCAAGACCAGAGCGGCATCCTGCTCCTCGCAAAATACTTCGTCCGACGTCGTCGTCGTCGAGATGGTCATCGTCACCGAAGTATTGTAAACACCTGAAGGATCAAAGGGCTTAACCGTTATTAGGGATTCGGTATCTTTGTCTCAGATTCTGAAATAATCCTGGATTTAGCTCACGCTGCAATGGTAATTATAAACCTTTAGGTCAGTCAGGAACCCCATGACTTTTACAAGCCGATCGCCTGTCTGATTATCAATATACTTAAGATTGGAAATCGAAATCAAATTTTTGCTTTTTCCTAACGGTTTTCATAACACTACAGTCTATAGGGGAAAATGAGTATGGTAAAACCGGTCACTCACAGATTTTTTACTTTTTTGAGGCACTTCTTGATCATTTTGAAGCGCAATTATTTTAGGGCTTCAATATTACACCATATCATAGACACTGATAAAAATCATAACACGTGGGGCCATGCATCTCATATTTAACATTGTTAAAAGATGCCATTAATGTTGAGTTCTGATAAAGTTTGACAAATTATAGTGAGCTTTCTCACTTTCCGGGGAAGTCGTGAAAATGGTAGGATGTGGTTATCATCCAAGGTGCACTAGTAGCGAGTGGTAAGGTTAGAAATTAAATTATCATATCATAGTAGAGGAATTTTCCTTTGTCCCAATGAGTCTCTTATTTGGATGGATTCAGCTCTTTTAATTCATATCATTGTATACAATAGCACAGTAAAACTAAAGATGATATAACGTGATATATTTATATCATACCACTAGTAATGCAATAAGAACGTTCAGCTCATGTATGAAAAAAGGAAATTAGACAAAGACTGCTAAGAAAGCATGGGTATGTTTGTAAGTGAGCAACCAGGGTACCGACGGCTTTAAGTCCTCTCCGAGGGGATTGGTAACGGGGAATAATGCCTTACCAATTAAAAGGTCACTATCGCATCGAATTGGTTTCGAACCCGAGACTTCAAGGTTATCGGAGACCACTGATCTACCACTGAGCCAACGCACCTCGCCCAGTTTCCTTTAATATTATGATTCATGGTTTATCAAGCTCTACGTGAGGAAAGAATACGTCATATAAACAAAAATTGTTTGAAATAATCGAAAGAGAAACAAACAATCATTACCATCGGTAGTAGCGTTCTTCCTGCTTGCACCTGTTGGGGTCGGGTCTTCGGGGCACTTGTCGCTATAGTAACCAATGTCCTTGAGGACGAAGACGAGCGAGGGCCAGCCGAAGATGACGCCGGCATGGATGAGGTTTTCTAAGGCCCCGAAGATGACCACGACGATGCTCAGGGATCCCATTGTCGATCACAGTGATGACAGTCCCAATGGTTCTAAAATCAATTGAAATGATTGATTATGAGTGTCTTATTTATTGGCAACCAAGCCCAACCAATACCGTATTGAAAAAAACCCACCGCCACAGTGATCACAGTCACGTGCTTATATGCCTGGCAAGGCGGTGATCCCGTGGTCGGGGCTCAAGGGAGATCGACAACCCCCCCCCCCCTTCCCCAAAAAAGTATGAGAAAGGGGCAGATGAAACGGGGAATATCACATGAGTCAAAGCTACACAATATTAACTGTTCATGATGTTTAAGCCTGAAATGCTCTTGAATTCAAAGTTTTACAATTAAAAAAAAAACACTTTTAGGTCGATCATTACGCCCCTCGTATTTACTACAACTTTTTGTAGGTATGTAAACCGTAGCTATACATTAGCAGATATTCAGTTTTGTATTTAAAGAGCGATATTTATAGAGAGCTTATATATGTACTTTTAAATGCAGGGTCGGTGATTCAAAGGGCACAACTAGGGGAGAGGGAGGGACCTCTTCATTGGCCCCAAATTTAGGAATGGTCACCAAAAAGACCAAAAGAAAAATGATTTAATGCTGCCTAACTCTCATTAAAAATATTTTAAAAGGTAATCGTGTGATTCACATATTGTCATAAAATGAAATGTTTCACACGAGAACTGCAATTTGTGTTATTAGTCAATGTTTTTGATATATACACTACTTCCTATACAGTAGGCTTACTTCCTATTGGACAAGTTTACACAAATTAACAAATTGCAGAGAGTACAAAATTCAGCTGCTAGACTTATTGCAAAGCGTCGTTCACGTGAGTCCATCACTCCACTGTTTAGGGAGCTTCACATGCTAAGAGTCCGGGAACGAATTGATTTTAAGATCCTCTTGCTGACTTTCCAATGTTTGACAAAAACAGCTCCAGTCTACCTTCAAAGGCTGATATCAGAATACTTACCCTCCCGCAAACAAGAAATCACTCTTAATAGTTCCTGCCACCAATACCCAGTCTTATGGTTCCCGAACTTTTTATGCAGCATCCCCTCAACTCTGGAACAATTTACCTCAATGTATAAAACAAGCAGATTCAACAGACAAATTCAAATCCATGTTAAAAACCTACTTTTTTGTTAAATAGCCTTTTTCATTTGCATATGCAGCCTCCTCGATTGTCCACTATCTATTATGTATAACTTAATATTTGGCTGTAATTCCTTCTCTTTCTATTTTTCTTGAGCGCTTAGAGACATATTTTGTGATAAGCGCTATACAAATGTTGTTAATTATTATTATTTATTCATGGGTGAGATGGGGTAAATGGGTGTAACCTGGAGGGGTCGTTCGTTTGAGGGCACTGGGGGTTAAACAGTTGAATTGATAACCCTTGCCAATGATTTAAACAGTCACACTATTCCCCGGTGATTCAACTATTACAGGCTTGACGGGATGACAATATATTTTGGGATCCAAATTCCCAGATTAAAAAGCCCCAAATTCTGTCGTTTCTAGTTGTTGTACTTGATTTAAGAAAAAATCCTTTTGCAATTTCAAGTTGTACGCAACTTTTAAAAATTGTTAACTAAAAATCGGTTATCTTCTTCTTCTCCTCCCTTTCTTTCTTTCTCTTTTTCTTTCTTTCTTTCTTTCTTCTTCCTTATCGTCTTCTTCTTCTACTTAAATATTATTATTATTATTATTATTATTACTTATATTTTTTCCCTATTATTATTATCATCGACATCATCGTCATCATCAGTATCATTATAATTATTATAACTATTATTAATATCATATGACTATTTGTATTATTATTGTCCGACTTGTTTTTGCTTGGACGACCTTACAGGCTTTTAACCCCTCCCTTGGGGCCTTGACTTGACCCCACAAAGGAAGTTTGGATCCACCACTGTTTTAAGCTTCTGTCTATTGATATTGCTCAGAAAAGTCAGAAACATAATCTTTAACAATGAAATAACATGCAGGCTTTGATTTGGGTTTCTCCGTATTGAGGAGAATCTAATCGCCACACTTGAGTGAGAAATGTGTGTATCAATTAACGGTCAATGTGGGACTCTATTACCACCGTACCTTGGACTTTAAATATTAAAGGGAGATGAACTTTGAAATAAGCCTACTGGCTGAGGATTTGATTTGCATCCTTCTTGTACCTTGACCTTCATCCTACATCACAAGGTTAATTCTCAAGAAATAAAAATATTCTATGGTTGTTGGCAGGTGTACAGGAATTGGCTGCGTGCAGGGTTAATCATCAAATTAATGTGGCTAGCTGAGAAGATCTATGCATCCACGCTTTGAAAACGTATTGCGACATGCAACTGAAAGTGGACCAGTAACATTGTTGACGGTTGATTAAAAAAAAACTCCGTAATTTGTGTTTGAAATGTTACTAATTATATTCGTTCTACCTTTATACTAACCCTCTAACAATGCAAAAAATCCTGAAAATGTTTTCAAACCACAAAGATATTTATAATTTTCTTTGAAGGCGTCACTGTGCGACACCCTCCTACAGTAAATTCCCCCGACCAATTTTTAAAAAAAAATTTCCAACCGTTTTTCCACGAAAAATAAGACATAAACCAACCTTTAAAAATGTGTCAACACTTAAATGTTTGAAATGGTAAATAGAGCCAATTATTGCTTTGTGACGATTAACATTCACCTAAAATTTAATTAAATTATGATAACATCGTTGGGAGGAATCAAAAATCATTTAGATCAGTTTTTTGTCTGTTTTCACGGCAAACTTTCAGATTATCTTTAATTGTACATTTAGCATTGAAGTAATTTCCTTAGCACCATTTTCTCTCATCTGAACAATGTTACCGGGTCCATTTAAAATGACGTTATGGAGAGTGAATGAATGAGTCAGATTTTTATTTCTTGCAAATAAAACAATGAGAATTTCTAATGGTTTAAATTTATCTACATGACCCGATTAAATCGCTTCCGAACCGAATATGAAGGGAAACACCTGGATATAAAAACACATTAGCCATTTGCCGTGAAAAGATGACAACAACTAAATAACGGTATAAATGTTTGGCGGGCTTTTTATTGTGTTGGTGTTTTTAAAGTACCCACCACAAGTACCTGTACAGATTAGGTTATTAGAGCGACAGTGGTCAATAAGGGAGTTTACAGATAGCACATGGTACAAATGACCCCAAATATCCACAGATCTTTTACACATGGAGAAGTTCCACTTTGAGCATATTAGAATAATAACTGCCAAAGTCCTAGATGTGCTTCATGAATACCTTTTGTTTGCCCTCTTGAAAAGAATACTTCCACCTGCCTATCATAGAATGTACCGTTGATGCATGAATGAATAATGTTACATAACTTTCATGAGCGCATATCCAGTATTCATCTCTGTGGGTTTTACCTTTTTGGTACAAATGACCTTTATCTGCCCATGCGCAGATTGTATCTGTAAACTCCCTTATTATTAACGGACAATGTGGGACTTTATTACCACCGTACCATTGACTTTAAATAAAGGAGAGGAACTTTGAAATAAATATAAGCCTACTGGCTGAGGATTTGATTTGCATTCTTCTTGTACCTTGACCTTCGTCCTACATCACAAGGTTAATTCTCAAGAAATAAAACCATTCTATGGTTGTTCGCAGGTGTACAGGAATTGGCTGCGCAAACAGGCAAAACAACAATGATAAGAATATAGCGTGCAGGGTTAATCATTAAATTAATGTGGCTAGCTGAGAAGATTCGTTCATCCATGCTTTGAAAACGTATTGCGACATGCAACTGAAAGTGGACCAGTAACATTGTTGACGGTTGATTAAAAAGAAAACTGCGTAATTTGTGTTTGAAATGTTATTAATTATATTCGTTTTACCTTTATACTAACCCTCTAACAATGCAAAAAATCCTGAAAATGTTTTCAAACCACAAAGATATTTATAATTTTCTTTGAAGGCGTCACTGTGCGACACCCTCCTACAGTAAATTCCCCCGACCAATTTTTAAAAAAAAATTTCCAACCGTTTTTTCACGAAAAATAAGACATAAACCAACCTTTAAAAATGTGTCAACACTTAAATGTTTGAAATGGTAAATAGAGCCAATTATTGCTTTGTGACGATTAACATTCACCTAAAATTTAATTAAATTATGATAATATCGTTGGGAGGAATCAAAATCGATTAGATCAGTTTTTTGTCTGTTTTCACGGCAAACTTTCAGATTATCTTTAATTGTACATCTAGCATTGAAGTAGTTTCCTTAGCACCATTTTCTCTCATCTGAACAATGTTACCAGGTCCATTCAAAATGACGTTATGGAGAGTGAATGAATGAGTCAGATTTTTATTTCTTGCAAATAAAACAATGAGAATTTCTAATGGTTTAAATTTATCTACATGACCCGATTAAATCGCTTCCGAACCGAATATGAAGGGAAACACCTGGATATAAAAACACATTAGCCATTTGCCGTGAAAAGATGACAACAACTAAATAACGGTATAAATGTTTGACGGGCTTTTTATTGTGTTGGTGTTTTTAAAGTACCCACCACAAGTACCTGTACAGATTAGGTTATTAAAGCGACTGTGGTCATTTGTTGTTGGACGTGAAACGAGGAATCAATTTTATTTGGCATAAACTATATGAAAGTATAATTGTACCCATTACAAAAAGGGAAAATGCCTGAGGTATTTCGTAATTTAGTGTTCTATTATGGAGTTATGAACATGCAGTGACATCAGCAATGCAATTTAACTTCATACTCGGTTAGTAGGGCAAATTTCTTAACACAATTATCGATTACAAATAAATACGTGGACTTGCCCCTGTCGATAAGGATGGTTCCCGCTGAAAGATTTCGCCAACTCTTAAATTGTTGGGTTTCATTTTCATGTCATTTCATATATGGACAATAAACCACGTATTTTCGAAGAAAATCGCTAACCGAGCTGTTTCTAGACGATAAAATGTTCAAAGGGCCAGTCGC